AAGCTGTAAGGCAGTATTCTGTTCTAAATGTCATAGCTTTGGGCTTTTTTTCCTATTTTTCTCTTTTTCAAACGTTCCTGTTACTCTTTTGTTCTTGTGCAAGTACTTGAACATTTTTCTCATGGAGGTACACAGTTGGAGCTGGAGAGCAGAGAAAGTAATAAACTCCACAAGGAAAACTTTCTCCATTCTTTTAAGGATGCTGTTCTTGATTCTGGTTTTGAATTTTTTTCTTATTTTTAAATAAAAATTAAAAAAAAACTTTTGCAAAAGGAAAGTAATAGCAAGTTCTTAGCAAAGGAAGTGACCAGCTGCACAAAGCAACAGGCAAGTGTAAATGGAAAACTACCAGGTGAGTATTTTTAGCTGTAGTAAGAAAATCACTTTTCTTGCTGCACTTCTCATTTTCCTTGGATTACAGCACTAGCTTATAAACCAGAATTCCTTGCTGACTGTAATATTGGTAAGAAGAAGAAGTAGAACTGTAACACTGGTTTCTTATTATATGCCAATGGTATCAGGCATTAAACATGGCCAAAATGCTTCAGTTTCAAGATAATTTTTAATTTGTACAAAACATAAAAGAGGGCAAAATTATATTTTAATTCTTGTACTTTTTATGGCCACAGGAAGAATAAGGTAGGTTACAAGAATAAGGGAGGAAAATGCCTAAAGAGAAAGATGAACATGAAAATTAAATTTGATGCCTTTCTTACTAGCTTTATGGTCTCAAAGAATGGAATTCATGCTTTGAAGAGAGTGTTTTGGTATTTAAAGCCCCCACAGCCTTTCTTCTTTATCTCTCTTCTCGAGCCTACTGCTCTGTGGCAGATAGGAGCGCACACTCATGCTTTATTTAGCACCTGATGTTTTCTCCCTCTAACTGTGCCTGCCATCCCCAACCACACTCTTTTGTTGCTGTAATTTCAAGCAAATTGGAGGTTGACACACGTGAGAACATAATGCCTTTCTGAACTTTGGAATAGCTAAGAAAACCAACTCAAGCAACTCAAATTACGTGAGAAGTGCCAGAAGGGCAAAGTCTGGCTCCAAGCCTGGAAAAAGAAGGAATGCAGCATACTGCTAGGCCCATCACTCTGACCTCCCACCTCTCAAGGAGCTCAAGGTGACAGAACTTTGCCAAAAGGAGAGATCTCAGTAGTACTCAGCAAAGCATCAATGGTTCTTAAGACTAAGAACATATACTAGAGCAGTTCTGCCAGTAAAACTGAGGACTAACTTAAAAATCTACAGTATCTCCGATAGGTTGTCCCGAATGACCTTTTTTTTTATTAAAATAGGGTATATTTATTGGAGTACTGTACTTATGAAGAATATAGGAAATGAAGAATAGGAAATAAAATACCTAGAAGACGTTAACATTCTTTTAAGTTCCTATCAGATCCATATTTAAGTTGCTCATTTTACCTGAAGTGACTTTCAGTTTGGGGTTTAGGGTGTCCTTTTTGATGTACGGACTGCTAAGCATTTCCATAGATCCCTATATCAAGAATATAAAGTGTATTTGCAATAGGCTTACTTTTCTTGGTTATCTTTTTGCTTGCTTTCTTAACTTACCAATATCATGTTCCAGTAATATGGAGATAAAGTGATTAAAACATCTCTGTAAAGCTACAATGGCATAATTTCAAGCCTTGCCCAGGACTTCCAGTGAGCGACATCTCCTGTCAACCCAGATATAAATGGAGGATTGCTCACTGAGGCCAAGGAGTTCAGAAGCAGCCAGAGATATTGGTAGCTTGATCGCTCTTCTACGCTGTTGGCCACAGAAACGGTGAACCTTAACCATATTAGGTTGGCAAGTCACAGATGCTCAGCTGGCAGCTGGACTGCTGCTGTTGACCACTGACATAAAGGAAAGGTACTGCACTAAATGGTTATTAAAGAATATTTTATTGTACAGCAAATTGCAATACAGAGAATGAGTAGTTCTTTTTAAACATATATATGTACAAAATTACAGAGAATGCAGTGATCTGTAGCTTTGAGGAAGAACAAGCTATGAACACCACAGTTCTACCTGTAAACAGTATAAATTAAGTTTCAAAAGTTTTGGCACTTTAGAGCCTGCCTATTTATATAATATACAGTCTTTAATAGAAGCTGGCACAGACAATCAATGTTCGCTGAATTTGTTCCCCACACAAGTATGAAAATATGCTTTATTTTAAATACTTTGCTTGATATTCACTAGCAGACCTGTTCAGCTGGTTTTTTTTTTTATTACTCAGCCACCTAATGACTAATTTCATTTATGCCCAGCTACCTACAGCTATAACTCACAGGGCTGAAACTGTAGAAAAATGACTTTATTTTTACAAACTCTGTGACACATCAAACCTACATTCCGCATGGCTGTGTTGAATTTTCTTTAACCATAATCAGTTTTTTCTCACACAGTGACATATGTGGAACAAAATGGCCTTGAATCATGATGCTATCAGTCCTCAGGAGACTAGTAAGAAAGAATTAGGCCTGATTAGTAATATAGTGAGAGAGAAATACTGAAATCTCTGGTGCTGTTAAAAGTTACTGCAATCTATGAGCAGCCTGGACAGGGTCAGGGAAATAGTGTTACACACTAACAAACACGGCAGGTCTAACAGTAAAGGCATTTCAACCGCAGTTGAGATACAGAATGGACTCTTCAATTACCTGACACAGTCAAAACCATCTTGGAAGTAGTTCTTTCCCCAAGATAATAAAGTGCCTTTACTACATGAACAAATATTTCCCTTTGGTTTGTGCTGGATTAGGTATTTTTCACCTTCTGTACTAAAAGGTTACCCAGTCTTGTTGCATAGCAGTAGGCTGGGGAAAAAAGAAAACTTTTGTACCCGGACCTGTGTATGAAGAGATTGTCTGCCACACTGCACTGCCACAAAACCTTTTAGCTTAACTGGGGATCTGCTTCGGTGCACATCCTCCTAGCGCTCCTTGCAGGAGTGGCCCATAGATATTTTTCCTGGAGCACATTTTAACAGGCTATCTGGAAGTAAAATTGTTATTTATTTTTGCTAACATAAATATTTATACTAACTTAATTTTATAGTCAATACAAACATGGTTACATTGAAAAACATTTAAACCATGTTAGGCCATAACTGTACTTATGAGAATAATCAAGTAAGAGAAGCTACCGAACATCTTACTAAGCCACTAATGTATGTTGAACAGGTATGAGCTGGTTATAAGTACACTCATGTGATCAAAATGTTTTTGGAGCATCTCACAGAAATCATTGCCTCAAAAAATGAATACTATGCCACAATTAAAAGGGTAAAAAACAATACAGGACGAAGTAATACTTCAATGTCAACTGAATAAAAATAATCTTATTTACAGATTGTCAGGAAAAACACAAAAGGCTTTCCCTTTTAGAATAAATATGTGTATTAAGGGAACACATCCACTAGCTAACACAACAACTTTGTGCAATTAAGTGAACAGTTCTTAAGTACTAAATGAAAACATAAAAACAAAAAAGTACAGCAGTGCAACCAGGTCAGAGCATAAACCTGATATTTGCTGTTTTATATTTCAGGTAGAAAGGTAACTTTTCAAAGCAAGCAAATAAAAGCCTTATATAATTCATCATTTCCATGTACAAATAGGCACTTCCCCTTCTACATTGAAACAAATAATTTCATTCCAAGCTCTCTCACTTTACCAAGAGTTCTATCTAGTATTAAGTGAATGTTCAGACTTGATGCAGCTGATCATTGCAAGATTTCTAACAACAGCCCCAACTAAGCTGCAGCTGCATTACAATTTGCTAGTGCTTCTTCTGGTAATGTTCACCATTAAACTATTCCAAGGTAATAGTTTTCAACCCTGAATCTTATTAAAAAAATAAAAAATTCAAGTTAAAGTTACTTTATCTGGCACACATAAACATTATATAGCTTAAAAAAGAGATTCCATTTATAAAGTTTGGCCAAATAACATAAGAGAGATTTTGGTCATTAAAATCAATCAGAAGGAGCCAAAATATCCATGGCCCAATCCTGCAGAGAAAAACAGGTGTGAAGGTAGGTCCCTGAAATTCCTTCAACTAGGCTGGCTTTCTACGGCCATGGACATTCACATGGCACTCTCTGGAGGAGAAGAACCTTGGAAAACAATTACTGCACGTGCACACACAGTGCTAACTGTATGGATCTGGAAACCACATTTGAAAGTGACACCTCACAAATTTTACAATGGTAAGGCGGCTATGGGTGATCCAATAGCCTACAGCTACTCAAAGGGGAGTTGCAAAGAATGCAGCCAAACTCCTCTTGGTAGCAGCAGACAGTGTAATTGGGAAACGGCTAAAAATTGTGACTGTGACAACTCAGGCTGGGCATGGGGAAACGTTTTTCACCAGAAGCGGAGTGCAAGCATGTGAACAGGTCGCCCAAAGAGATGGTGGGATCACTGTCTTTGGGGCTTTTCACAAATTCTCTAGGAAGGCCATCGCTAACCTGATCTAGAGGTGGTAACAGTCCAGCTTTGAGTGCAAAGTTGGACAAAACCACTTCCAGAAATCCTTCCAAACAACTTCATGTGATTCTGTGTACCCAACTAAAATGTACTGGTCATGCAGCTGTGTCAACAAGGTCTATACAAATGCATTTCACCTCATTTACTGCAGGCCAGAACTACAGAGTCTGTCAGATACTGTGCTTCAGCTGTTGTACAGTAGAATGCTGAGCCCCAGTCTAAGCCCTGGAAGTTAACAGAAGTTAATAACACTGAAAGAGCAATACTTTGAGATGAAAGGAACAGCTTATAATTACAACCCTTTTGTGCTGGGAAAACTCTTTAAAGCCCACAGGTTTTGAGCTTACACTTCAGAAACCAAGAGCTGGATCATCTTCCTCTCTCCCTGTTGCTCCACGAAAAAACATCTGGAAGTATAACCCATCAGTATTCTAATTCCATTTCATTCCTTTGTGGAAAGAGGACTTAAGCAGGGGAAGGTGTTAGCTTGTGGGTTTTTTTTTTTTTTTTTTTAGTAAACACAGAAAAACACAGAGGAGGTCCTCAACACGCTCCGCTAAGGCTGCAGAATGCTACAACTGAAATCATCCATGTGGAACACGGTAGGTCTGCATGTGAAGATTGACTCAATGCTTCAGAAAGGATATATTTTCTCTTATAGGACTGGAAGAAATAGTGAAGTAAAGTGCCTTATTTCATCTAGCACTGCCTGTCTTGTCTGTCTTCTATATCCTTCCATTAGTTACTTAAAGATTAGCTGCTCTGAACAAGAGGTCTGAAAGGATGCCTAAAACACTGCTCTGCTGAAAGATAGCATTTTTTTAAATGTGATGAACCATCCTATTTCTGAGAACTCCGCATTTTATAAAAATGTTAACAAAGCACAAGCTATACAGCGTTCAACCATAGTGCTGATAAAACATAGTAACAGCTGCTAGTTGTATGAGTTTCTTATTGGTCCATAAAACTTTATCCAGGGCTGATTCAATGAAATATGTTTCAGCTAGGAGATGTTTTCTCAACATGTACAGAACAGACGGAAATAGCTGGGTCTGGAAGGGCTCCTTTCTCATTCTGATTAAAATTAGTTAAAACTGAGAAGAATTGGACCATGTTTGCTGATTGTAGAAATATGTACAAATTGTACTAAAATACAGGAGTGCTCAAACTTCTCTAAGCAATAACAACTTAGATTTTAGGGATGCTGGCAGTTAGACCTACCACCCACTAATGAGTTTCTCAGCGTTTTCTCAAAATCAGCCTACATCGTCCTCATTAAGGTAAGTGGTTCTTGTTCATTCTAGGGAATTCTTTTAATGAACAGCTGATACAGATGCTTGCGCATGTGCAGCAGTTCTTCTCCCTGCATGTACAAAACTTCAGAAAGAGGCATAAAGAATATCAGTTAAAACACACTCCTCAGTACTATGCGGAACCTCTCAGTTAGTGTCTGAACGGAAAACATTTGAAAAACAGGGAGAAAGGACAATCTGTATCTCTCTATAATACTAGCAATAACCAAGTTAAGGTATTGGGTCATTATTTCATCTCAGTAATCCTACATACCGCAGACACTGTAGTCTCTCTGGAATTTGGAACTGTAATGGTCTGTGCAAATATTCCTTTTACTTTCCATCTGTGTAGGATCACATTGAAAGTCTACTTCTCAGGTCCGAATAAAACCTCAGGCCCTCAAATTAAGTAAAATTCTAATTCATTAACTTTTGTGCAATTATGACAGAACCCCATACATTTGCCACTGTGTAGTCCCCAAAGGATCCCCATTCCACTTAGGGCCCCAAATTTAGGGTTTACTTGAAAATAGGAAACCTTTTAATAATTTGGAGTTTTGCTGAGAAATGTTTCATCAAGGAGTAAGTCACAGCTTTCAAAAAACTAGATAAGCAGATAAGAACAAAGAGACATTAAATTAACTGAGGCTGTTATTTTTTCTTTGCCTATGAGTGATGTGACGTTATCATAGCATATTCTGTATGCAAGAGATGTTGATGCCATGAAGAAACAAGCAGGAAAAGGACGTACAACATATTACAATATTGTATGTACTGACTATTGTAGCACTGATTCTGAGCTCACTTCATTGACTTACACTACTTCAGAAAGGTGGTACCAGGACCTAAAGGACAAAGCAAGTGCGTAAATATGAATGAGCAGAGAGCAGAAGCTAGATTTTTTCCATGGTGTGCAGCTTCTAAATCCACAAATGTTTAAGTCCATAGTAAAAAGAATACATTATTGAAATCCTTCATTTATCCTTTTTTTAAAAACAGTAAAAAATATACAAGTAAATTATTTAGGTCAGAAAATGAATCCGTCATTCAAACATTGCAACAGTTCTTCGTGAGTGCTGATTTTTTGACAGGTGTCCCAGCCAGGCTGGTTACTGACCTTGTATCATCTTCATTATCACTTCGTTTTCTCACTTCACTGTTAATAAACAAATAAACAGGGATAAAGCTCACTAAATTTATTTCTATTCATGTCCATTATTCGGTTTCTCTCAGCACGTCTTATTCATTATTGCTCACTGTCATTATTACTTTCTATTTTAAATTCAAACTTTCTGTAAAAGGAAATATAAATAAATATAAATATAAATAAACATCAATAAGCATTTTTCAGTACATGGAATCAAACATGTCTTAAGTTTCCACTTTGGAAATAGCATCAGTATTTGTATACAAAGCACTCTTAGTGACAGAAATATAATAATTTCTGATATGTGATAACCAGTGTCATGTTCTACCTTACCTTTTGCTCACGTTTTCCTTTAATTTGGTAACTGTCACTGTTTCACCATAGAAACTAACCATGTTCCTAGCTGAAAGTATAAAACTAAATAACATGCAATTTCAAGTACACATTTGTCCTTAGAGCATATTGCTGGATTTTCTGTTACAAATGCAGCCTTAAAACTGGTATATGTACATGTGACTGATTTTGTATGCCTATTATGGGTCTCCTAGGATGTTAAAAGCCAGCTCTAAAATTTCCTGCTTATAGTGCAATTTAAGTCATCCTTACATCAGTAAAACAAATTCATGATGTTCCTCTCAAAATACTCAAAGTATACTCTCAAAGTATTATTCAACATAAAATGGTGGCAGAAAGGATTCCTAAAAAGAGGCAATAGGTCAGTCTAGAAGTCAGTCTGCTCCTACGAAATGTTCCTGCAGAGATTTTTATTTCACAATTCAGAAATGTTCCATCAATGAATAAGAGTCACTAAGTCTTGAGCAAAGGAATTACAGCCAGCCATTCCAGAATAAGGTCTTTGGGTAATGTCTACAGCACTTGAGGATTGCTGAAGTTAGTGAAGAGAACTGTTAAAATTTTGTTTTTGAGATTCTGAAAACTGGAAAAGCTCCAACTGGAAAAAGTTTAATCCTTGAAACAAATCCTTAAACAAATTTATCATATTTAAACATTAGGGGTCATCTTCCAACTGTGATTAATGTTACCTAACTGTACTATATATGTTCTCAACTTCACAGTCCACTCACTGCTGCATTCACAGCCAGGTTCCTGGAAACCAGTCATTCAACAAATCAGCCATTTACTCTGCATTGACACCAGGAGATAAATAAATGGCTGTGTTCTTGCTGCATCTCTGATGTTCTTGTTTTCCTAGCAATATAGGTAGTTTTCAAAGTCCTGATGGTAGAAACAATGACCCTGCCCAGAAAATCAGTACTTTTTGTTCAAGTCATTTTAATTAAAAGTATTTTAACTAAATACCAACCAAGTGTCAAAAAGTTTATTTAATCAGGCTGCCGCAAAAATTAAATGAATATGGTCTGTAACTCTGGCCTCAGGCTCCATGTTTCAAATTTAAAATTCAGAAACTAAGGATTTCTTACCCACTGCCAACTCCTCAAAACAAAATGGTAATAAAGAAGGATTTAGAAGCGGGGATAGAAGCACTAAGGTTGGCTCATACTTTATCATGGAAATACTACGTTGCTGGATGGATACATTCAGAATTTCTATCTTTTAAATAACTGAGAGAAACTGATAACAAAGAAAATATGTGAGATTAGAACCGTCTGTAATAAAGCTATGTGCCATGATCTGGCAGAAAAATCAAAATGTATATGAATGCCTAGGAAAGAATTTAGATTTAATTATATGTAAAAACTATGTAAAATGCATTAAAAATTATATATATGCACATACGTTTATGCATATGTGTGTAAATATATCTACTTAGTTCTTTTATTTATATACATATATATTTTTATACACACACACACACACACACATATAAATAAAAGAACGATGAAAGTAAATCTATGTATCTCATTACAAAATTAAGTAATTCACCAAATAGGTTTTAAAAGCATGAGTTCCACAACTAAGCTCCAGTTTTAATATTAATAAAGATAGGAGAGTAACATCTGCAAGCAAAAATGCGTTATCTTATTAAACTGAGAAAAAAATCCTGGTTTGCATTGATCTATAAAGATTTGACATGGCATCCTTTCTTAATTTCATTTGTTGAATTAGATTTTGGTGCAATTTAAAAAATGTGTGTGCGTGTCTTACGTGTATATACGTATCTAATGTACATTTCATAAAATATATGCAATGTGTTTATCTGAAAATAGAAATAGCGCTATTTACCGAGCAAGATGAAGAACTGCTTCTACAATATTAGATCCATCTTTAGCGCTTGTTTCACAGAATAGCGCATTGTAAGTCTGTGAATAGAAAATAAAATGTTAAGCTAGTGTAGCTTAACTGGTCTTATCTAAGTATTATAAATTACAAATGGTTTCCTCAGTAACTCCAAAGAATTATCACACACGCTTTTAAATGAACAGTATTCATTCTGCTCATCTTAATTCTCTAATATAGTCACTTTAATATTGGGAAAAAAAGGACTTATTTTAATTGTTTGTTTTTTATATTCAATATATTTTAATTAACAAACTGAGTTAAAAACAAATCATAGTTGCAATGTCCAGCCTAAATCTTCTTGCTCACAAGACTGCAAAATGGGCAGACAGCTGCTGGGAGAGGTTACTGAAGCCATGCTGTTAGCTACTCTTTACCCGTAGCAACTGGTCTAGCTTAACCAGGAATATTATTTTGTAAGTAACTAACATGGTACCTGCCCTGGTGCAATCATTCAATTGTGCAAGCGCTCATCAGCTCAAGACTCTATGGTCCACTTGTCCTGCAAAATACAGGACTCAGGCATCCTTTCCTTACCACCGAATAAAAATACGGAAAAATTTGTCCATACCTGTATTTATAGCAGAGAGTTACTTCCCCCCACCCCTATTTCCTGCAGACACGGCAGGAATACAAGACAGTGTCTTGAAGATGAAAATATTTCATTCAAGCTGAATAGGAACAAGTTAGTTGGAGAGTCTCATCTCCTAATATTTGCTTTGCCAGTTTTTCTCCAGAGGCATAAAAGCTCAGTCCCCCAGTCCATGCACTTTTCAGACCATAAAGACTGTGAAGAATATGTCAGCCAATAATGAAGTTCAGGTGAGTGGACACTGGGATGAGATTTCAGCCAGAACATGCCATCAGCAGAGTAACTTTCATGAAAAGTATCCACTAATATCGATGACTAGATTTCAAATTAATGACCAGAAAATGACTTTTTTACTAGTATTTCACGTAGTTTTCATTTTAAAGTTCCTTAGAGCACTTTATGCCAAATAAGCAGGCATAGACCTTACCATGGCCAGCTTTTCTCCATAGCTTATAGGCACACATTTTTGTCCTTGTTCTGTAACTGTTTGGCGGAGATCTGCTTTGTTTCCCACCATCATAATTGGAATATTGTCATGAGTTGCATCCTGTAAAGCATATTTTATTTCCTTATTGCAAGAACACTCAGAATAGTGTCATCATTTAACTTAAGCAAGTAAACATACTGATTTCCTTCCCCTCAAGAAAAAAGTTCTGCACAATTAAAAAAAAAAAGATTTTCTTAAAATCATGCTGAGAGCTTTTCATGAGAAATTCCATAATTTAAGCAGCCAGCTTAAACATGTGTTTGCAAAGATGTGCACGTATTCCCATAAGCCCTGTTAGCCAACAAGGAATTTCATGTGTCAAATTAATCTAATGGAAACAGTCACTAGATCTAAATGCTATATGACTAAATTACTACAGGAAGAGAGACTAATTCCGCTACCATGATTTAAAAAAAAGCTTTCAGAAGGGGAAATTAAGTTCTTGCTGATCATTTTCCCTCCTATTAAATGCATCTGGTAGAAGAAGAAAATCTTTTTCTTGAAATATGTTCAGATAAACAAACAAGATGTAGTAAAGAAAGAATACTGAAAATTTCACTAGGACAATAGCTGATTTATAGAATTAAACATACTGGTTTAACATGCAGAGTGTACAAGGAATACTGAAGCCATTTACGGAGGGATATCTGAAATGGTCTAGCGCTCATGTTCATTTCAAAAGGAAGGGGCTGGAAATAGTGTGATTGCATGATGCTCTTTTATACAAAACATCGCAAAGCACCAGTTTTAACACTGACTGAGTATGTCAGGATACAGTTTAATACTCTGAGATATTCCATTTAACTTAGACTTCTATTATACATTGCAGTTTGAATAACTGTATAGTGAATTAGCCAAGCTTTATAAATCACGCCAGTCTCTCTAAAAAGAACTCTGGAATTCTGAACCAAATAATGAACTTCTCAGTGGGAATACTCACCTCCTCACTTTAAATAACAAGGTAACAACATTGTGAAATACAGCTTGCAAGTTGTATATAATTTAAGATTCTTACCTCAATCATATCCACCCATTCTCGTACATTAAGAAAACTTTTTTCACATGTTACATCATACAACAGTAAGACACCATCTGCTCTTCTAAAGTATGATTTAGCAATACTTCGAAATCTTTTAGGAGAAAAAAAAAAGATGACTTGTGTAAAGCCACATTTACAAAAGAGAATTCTAATTTAATGTCATTAACAACACAGAGCATTACTTGATTACTCTACTAAATAGATTTGTCCTCTCCATGTTCAGCTGTGAGAAAACATACAATTCTTAGAAATGTTTTTGAAAATTACTTAAGCAGATCTACAAACGCTCCATTAAAATCCATAGGATTCTATCCTAATCAGCAATCAAAACTTTTTTATATTAAAACGATCTACAGTTTATCTATTACAGATACCTGCTTTGCACTGGGTTTTGATTACATGGCAAGGCTTTTAGGC